CTCTCTAAGTAGTTGACGGACCTACTCTATTCTACTTTCCAGACTTAGCCGAAGTTCCCCTCTCATATATCCTGCAAACAGAATCTGGTCACATAGATGGCAGTGATATATACAATGTTATTCTAACACCTTAAATTCGGTGGCATTATAGTCACAGGACACAACTAAAATAGATATATAGGATGACATGTGGGCCCCATAAGGGGGCCAGAGGGGGGTGTTGGAGACCAGAGATTCCTATTCTGAGTGGAGTTCCCCTACTTAGAGTGGTTCTTAGTTATCGGATCCTGGTACTCCTAACACCTCCTGTGCAAACTACTCACGCAACCACTTAAGTTCTTTCCTGTACTACAAGTTGAATCTATGCTCTCATCCATATACAAATATCGCCTGTGATACTACGTGAGAAACAGGTCTCACTTATCAAATAAGACGAGACTACAAAGTTACCGATAGGTATTATCAAAGGTAATAATGAGGACAAAGAGGTCTTAGGACTATTGAGGTATCAGCAAGGTAAGGTCATTACCTGTTGAAGAGCTAACATAGATGGAGTAGGATCATTACACAATACAGGATCAGATTCTACCCTAGTTTTTATCAATTATTAGATAGTTTCAAATATAGTAGTCAAAAAAGTAGTTATAGTAAATGGAATAGCTTGACTTGTATACTACAAATCTCTGGCCAATAATCTCAAGAGTCCTTATAGACATTCAAGTATTATATGACTATATTAATAAAAATGGAATTAAAATTATTGCTTAACAATTATTTGTAAAATTAATTAAATTGACTAAAATATTCAAAAAGATTGATAATAAAATCAAACCTCAATATATTTTAAACATTATTGCACTTACAGAATACCAGTTTTTAATATTTACTCTAGGTAAAAGAAAAGAATAAAAAGAGAAACTTGAAGTATTTTCGAACTATCTAACTCTCTGTCCAAATTCCCCGACCAAAGGTTCAGACTCACTACCAGGTACCGATTAATAGCACCTCTAAATACATTATATTTCACTAATTAAGTGCCTAAAAAGGGCGAGTGGATTTTCAAAAATATGGTAATTGCCTTAATTATGTAAAACCTGTGGTTATTGACTATTAAATACAGTGTAAACTCATATTATAAGTTCATAGAATAAACACAACTTATCTGTTGGGAATACGAGAATCTGATAACTAGGAATTACCCTAAGTAGGATAACTGCACTCGGAATTGGAATCCCTGGTCTCTAACACCCCCTCCAGCCCCCTTAGAGGGCCCGAACATTATTATACATATCAATCTCAGTTGCGTCCTGTGACTATAATACCAGTAAATTAAAGGTGTCAGAATAATACCATATACGTCACCACCATCTCTCCGACCAGATCTTGTTCGCAGGATATATGGGAGGGTACCTTCATCTAGGTCTGAGAAGTGGAATGGAGTAAATCTGTCAACTACTCACAAGGTTACTAGGCTTTAAGGATGTGATATCTTTAGCATAAGCCATAAGTAACAGGATATTTTTATACAAAGAGATGGAATCGAATAGTAAAGGATCTCAGTGAGAGACCAATACATTCACATCCACCTTACAATAACCAGACAAGTTTAGAATTCCAAGGGACACTACCATAAACACCAATAGACTTTACGGAGTATTACAACTAGGTTTTGGAATACGATGTAGCTGTAGAGATGACTTCTAATACTACAACAGCAATTGAAATCCTGTTACCCAGAGTAACCAAGGGTTGCCGACTGAGTGAATATTTATCAATCCAGTGGAATAGCTTTCTGCGAATTAGTAGGAAGCCTCTTGGAAGATACCTATCAGTTGGGTAAGGAGTTATAACGGTTTGAAGTCAGGCGACCTAGAAAGGTTGCGATTACAACTATCTTCGTAGATGCAACTCACAGATGAAACAGATCATTTCATCAATGACGGAGACAATTGGGACCGACTCAGTTCGACTTGAAAACTAGGCCATAAGTCTAAAGACTCTAATAATCGAATAACTACTATTGGGAACAGTATAGTTCCTAGTTAGTTATATTGTAATTGCCAAAGAGGATGTGGTGATTTTCAGGGTCTCCGGGTATTTGCACCTTTTAAGAACACCTGACATTGCTAGTTATAATCAGAGAGGTACATAGTTGTATAATTAATAGATGTAGTCTGCGAACACTCAGACGCAGAATATAAATATCGAAGTACCTCCTAAGCTTTAAACATCATCAAACAACAGAGAGGAGACCTTAACAATATAGTGATGTCTTTATGATTCAATTCTACTTTACTTATATTACTTCACTCTCAGTAGTCATAAACGAAATGAGCGAATTCCAAGCCTTCCTAGATAATCTCCATCTACAGAAACGAATTTTGCTTGACCTAAACATCTCTGAAGTTTATCAGGTTGTCTCCACCTAACATTATCTCTCCTTTTATTAGTACCCTTTACTTTCTCCCAATAATTACGTGTTCTGGTCCTGGTAGCTTTAAATTCTTTTCTACAATTAGAAGAGTTTAAGGGTTAATACATAATTCAAATATCTGGTGAAAGTAATATGCAATAATCCACAACCCAAAGAAATGTCATAAAAAGCAGTAGAAAGTAAATGATCAAGCCATCAGATTTCATCAGCCAAACAAGAATTCGATATTGTCAATTCTTCAATTGTATAGAACCCTATCTATAGATGGGAGAACATTGCCTAAGAAATACAGGAAAGGAGAGAAAAAGAAAGAAGGTGAAGTGGAAAAATGGAGAAGTGGAGAGTGATAAGTTAAATCAAAAGGAAAAAAAAAAAATCTAGCTTGGATTCAACAAGAGAACTGCTACCAAGCCTAGAGTCTAACTGAGGAAAATTGGTAGGAGATAGGTAACAAGGAATGCTATTTCAGTCGGCGGTCCTAGAGGTTGACTCCCAAGCGCTGCAGTCTTGGTCCAAATCGGGTCTTTCTGCCGTCATCTGCAGGGCCCACTCGTCAGTCCCAGGTACTGGCGTGGACGGACTCCACGATGCCCGTCCGTCCTGGGCATCCTCCCATGTACCATAGCCCGTCCTGTCCGGACCGAAAGACGGACAGACAGGACGGTTGGGAACACCGGCAGGTGTTAAAATCTTTGTCCATTATGATCCAGTTCCAGCACCACCCTTGTCTTTCTCATACTCGTCCCCGTTACTCTGGCGGTTTTGATCCTTGGTATTAGTCTATTACGGAGCCTGTTTGGGTGCAGGAGAACTGAAAACAACATGATTGAAGACTTGGGGTCAGCATTTATATCAAGAGAAAGGGGAAAAAAAGGCAATGAGGAATTTTTAGATCCAGTTTGACAACCATAACACCAACCCAAGTTCAATCCCCTAGTAACTCAACCATATGTGAATAAATGAAAAATGCAGTGACCAAACCTTCCAACCAAGCTATCATACTTATGAACGAGTCGCTCACTTACTTGACCTCCCCACTTCAAGTTCGATGACAATTCAAACACCATTGCCATTGCAGCGCACATGCCCACCTAACATCCATGGTGAGAATATTCTGGGTTAGCGGGGGAGACCTCAAAGGGTTGATAGTTTAGAGATTAGTTACTCTCTGGTATGGTAGTATGGGTAGATCGATAGATAGCGAAGCACTTGGTACCCAGCTATCCAGCGCTACCTTATAATATGTAGCACCCCGCATCATACTGATGCAATAAAACGCCATAAGTGACCGTGTTAAAGAATGCGTATGATTGCCCACGGTCCTGTACGCTCTTGTGAGTAAGCAGAATAACTATATTCCTTCTTGTTTTCAGTGTTCCCAGCCGATCTGTCCGTCTTCGGTGCAAGGCGGGATGGGCTACGGCTCATGGTCCGTCTTTTTGGGGGTACTAGGATGGAATATGCCCGGGGAGGGGAAGACCGGACGGACTGTAGGGGACTATAGTCCTAGCGCTTGGACCTCAGGTACTAGCCAAATTGAAACCATACACCTTCAAACGGATTCTTATCACATCATGAGATATCACTCATGCAGTACCCGGCCGTCTCCAATAATCCCCTGTAGTCCTCCACCATCCCCCAACCGTCCCTGGCAATCCCTCACCATTCTCAGTCATCCCCTGCAGTCACCTGTCGCCTCCCGCCGTCCACTCCCCTCCCCTGAACTAGCACGTCTCAGCCTGTAGGGCCCACTGTCCGGGTGGGTGGGTCCAAAGACGGCTGCCTGCACTTTTACCACCGTAGACTGACTCCAGATAGCCGTCCCGTCCCGTCCAGGGCTCTTGGTAATTCCCCCGCTGGGTTCCACAGAGCCCCCGGACTTTTGGGAATACTGGTGAGGGACATGCAGTCTCATGATCAATTGAAGGAGAGGAGCTCCAGGAAAGTTATTTGTAGGTTGCGATTGGATTATCATTCAGAAATCCTAAGATGCCAGTCCGGTTCATGGTCCGGCCATAGCTTTGACAAGGCTGGGTCTGTCCGGGCGAAATCATTCACAATGGCCAAAGCCTGGTCGAATTTTGTAGCAACCCAAGTCAAAGCTGCCAGATGCCCAGGTAAAAAGTTGTCAGGTGCCGAGGTAAAGCCGCAAGATAACCAGGTAAAGCCGCAAGATTCCCAGATAAAACCGCCAGATGATCAGGTAAAACTGCGAGATGTCGAGATAAAGCCGCATGGTACCCAGGCAAAGCAGCAAGATAACTAGGCAAAGCCGCCAGATTCCCATATAAAAACCGCCAGATGCTCAGGTAAAGCCACAAGATACCCAAGCAAATCCATCAGAATCCCAGTCAAAGCCGCATGGCACCCAGATAAAGAGGCCAGATGCCCAGGCCAGGCCTGGCTTCAGTTTTGAAAACCGCTTTCCCGCAGTCTGGCCAGGCCTCTCCTGAAATAGCCTGGGTCAGTCCGGTCATACCCAAAGCCCGACGGACCGGCCGCTCCGGTCCACTAGCCATCGACACATGTGGTTTCCATAACTACCCTAGAGTAGCCTGGACAAATATTTTGTGCATAAAGCTTTTATTGAAGAGTCGCGTACAGAGTGGAGATCATGAAGACATGAAAAAATGAAAATGAAAATGAAGGAAACAAGGTGGCAGCCAGTATTGCGAGGCAAGGAAAAGAAAAAAAAAAAAGCAAAGAGTAATACATGAGTATAAGAATCAAAAGAGATCGAGAAAATTGACCAGTACCTAAATCTATTTTCATCCCAATACCCATTATAACTCACACTTGCCGTTCATACTAAACCAAACCAATTTTCAAGACCATTTTAAGTGAAAGTTTAGGGCAACCCGGGAGTATGGCCCTTTTTCAATGCGTTGGCGATGTGCTCCAGGTACTCGTGTTCCTGGCGGAGAAATTCATCGTCGGCAGCATGGATGAGGGTCGAATAGTCGGGTTCCCCCTTTTCCTTTTTTAGAACATTGGCGAGGTATGGACTCCCAGATTGATAGGGTGCGACGGTGGCGGTATCTTCGGAGGCCCCGGGATTCTCTTCGGCGGGGGCGGGGGTGTTGATATGATTTTCGGCCGTAATCCAAATATGGTCCTGTTCCCAAACCATTTCCATAGCGTCAACTCCATCACGGTTTTTGAAATACTCAATGGTACCATTTGCATGAAGTTTTTCCTCATGCTGGATGTTATTAATCGCAGCCAACCAATCTGGGTGGGCTTGGATAATGGTATGTTCTTCATTGGACTTGCTGAAGAGGACGACGTTAATACCCGAAGGGGAGTGAGCCAAGGGGAGAGCCTCGCCGGGATACGACTCCGTACTTATAATCCGGTCTTTCATTCGTCTCCAGAAGTAGTGGCCAAAGTGGGAATCAAACCAAGGCAGAATGGTGCGGAGGTTGACTTGGACTTCAGCTTTGGGAAGACGGTTCAAAAAATTATCTTTAATCGCCGAAATGAGGTTCTCTGTCCCGGGTTCGCATATAGCAGCCGTAGTTGGGAGTTCAATGATAATTGAGTTTAGTTTTTTCCAGCAACCCTTCCAGAGTTGGGAGCAACAGTGTGCTCCCGGACCTCTAACATGGAGGTACTCGAGGGTATTGAGGAAAGTTGAACCATTCTCAATCACAACTCCGCCGGGAATTCTGTATCTTCCCGTGAGAAGCATACACAGATGTCGATCGGCAGAGCGTTCACGGAAGTAACGAAGACTCCGTAGAGGTGAGGCCTCCTTATGGGCTGCAAAGGGGAGGGAAAGAGTAAGATGGGTAAGATTCGGAAACCTAAGATCTGAGTCGACAGGTCGTGGAACAAAAAGCCAGGGGTTTGCTACTCAGTATGTTAGCTAAGACTTGTCCGTCAATATTAGGCTATCTTAGGGCACTTACACCAGATGTGTCCAGAAATTACCAATTTTTTAAGACTGGCTAGATTATCTAATCTGCCGAACATCTTACTTAGAAGATGAGTTGCCGGGATGCGATAGTATACTGCGACCATCTCTGTATCTTGTCCACGACTAAGGCTAGAAACATAGTGGGGAATATCGGACTCGTGCATCTCAGAAGCTCCCGGCCCCAAGATCAAAGTCTTCGCATGAGTAAGAAAGGATCCCGGTTCATAATCCCCTTCATCTATTTAGTTAGTTTCACAAATTGAATATTAAATATATACTGAAAATATCTGGTATAAAAAGAAAACTTACCCTTATTCAACCCATCACCACAATCTACCTCCATCTGGCTCCGGTCATCAGAATCACCACTGTCCTCAACAGATCCATAATCCTTAATTGATTTGTTATCCTTAATAGATATATTGTTAGTACTAAATTCATAGTCAATGATAGAACTGTTTGTAAAACTCACATCAATTGACCCATCACTAAGATTCAAATGCCCACCAATGTTGTAACTACCCCCCCTAACCCAACCTGGTATATTAAGCCAATTCCAGTCCCCATGTTCTTCATCATTCTCATAAATTTGTGCCATCAATTCATTAGAATCATGAGAGTCTGGACGTTTCCACCATGGTCCTGCACCATAAGAATCAAAGTGGTATGGTGATTCAGCTATCTTACCGGGAGCCAAACCAGTCACGTCCCCACAATTCTCATTAGTAAAGGAGTATGTAACTCCAAAGGGGTAAATCTTTGTAGGTCTGTTGATGATTGGCTTTTGTGTAGGGATTTCATTGCTCCAATCTTTTCTTTGACGCTTCTCAAAAAGGAGTAGACGTTGCAAATTGAAAGGACCATCGATGTAAACTGCATTTCTTGTCATGTATCCCGCAACCATCTTATACATGGCCTTAGACACAAGAAGTATATTATGAAGAGAATTTTCTAGCTCGTAAGCAATTGTATGATTCAACAACTGGGATGACTCCGCCTGTTGGTTCAAGTCTTGTGTAATAGGTATCTGTGCCTGATCCTTGATGATCGAAAGATTAGGTGAGAGTAACTGTATATACTCTTCAATAACCTTCTCTTGAATCTCTTGAGGAAACTTGGTAAATTGATAAAAAGTATCAGGAGACTTAGATGTTGACTCAAGATCCAAACTAGTTTGCTGTATAGGAGACTCTGACTGGTCAGACATCTCTTCAAGGGGACTCAGAGTCGAGTTATTCATATTATCTTCTTGATCCTCAAGTATGGTCAAAGGAACTTGAAAGGCTTCAAGGGGAGTATTCGAGGAAAGGTCGTATGGAGGATCTTCAGTATTGTCCTGTTGGACTCTAAAGGACTCACTACTAGTACTAGAAGAGTTCATCTTATGATAAACACAAAGAAGAGTAGCCTTAAATAGTGAATCCTGAAAAATAAAACAATCAGTATCAATACTAGTATTGAGAGACAATAGGTAAAGAAAAGAAGATAAAAGAAAAAGAAGAGGTTGAATTGCCTCAATTGTGAAGAATTATTAGTTGAATGAAGGTCAATAGCGATAGGCTATCATCAATTGGGTATTCCATTCAAACAAGATCAAAGGATATGACATATGAGAGGGAGTAGAGGCAATGGTATTTACCTTTATAGCAATAAAACATTCGTTTTATTAAGAAAATAGGGACAATCTATTCCACCTGGAGTGCCTTTGCCGAAGGTAGCGCAATGGCTGTAGATGATGGTCAATGACGGTCAATGGTCAAGGTGGATTTCTAAGAAGCAGTGCGGTGTGGAGGGTGTGGAGCAGAAGAAGAACTCGAGGAAAGAAAGGAACACGAATGGGGAATGGCGGCTTCTTATATAGCCTTCTTTGGAGTGGGAGGGCTCCATATATCCTAACCTACTACCCCTCCGGGCAGGGCACACAATACCTGATGCACCATAGTATGATACTATCACGATTGTACTGGTGCCAAGGTTGTGGCTCGCACCAGTGGGCACAGAGAGCCCGACAACCCAAACTCAACTTTGTGGCTCGACGTAACTGTGGCCCATCATGGTAACAGTGTGGCTCAACACCACTTTGTGGCTCGGGGTCTGTTTTCCTCCATTGGGTATTTACAAACGTTCCTACTCTAAAAATGATCGTTGGACAAAAGGAAATATGGCCACTTTGTAGACAGTTTGATAAGGTGCCGAACGATAGGGTAGCGAGAACCAACACTTCTCTCGGAGGAGAGTGATATGGTGCTTGACTTGATTGAGAGGGCTGACTCGTCGGAGAGAGCAGGTGATTCTCGTCACTGTATCATTCTCAACGCCCTATCAAGTAGCCTATATGGCAACAGATTGGAATCTCTGTATCTAAAACGGCACTAAGCCGCAGTGATCCCGAGTGGCCAGTCCAGGCCATGGTCCGGATCACAGGTCGGCAGTCCGGCCAGTCCGGCCTTGGTATTGAAAAGCCTGGGCGTGCGTCCGGTCGAAACTCTCAGCCGCCGCTAAAACCCGGCGGCGCCCAGGCAACCGCCCGATCAAGTCTTGGCGCAACCGAGGTCGGGTCTACCAGGTGCCCAAGTAATCCAAAGATATCTATGGACGGCCTGCAGGCTTTCCACTTTTAATCATTCAGAATGGGATAATAGGAGCAACATACACCTGATACTATTGATCTCACTTAAGGCAAGTCTTTCTCGTCCACTGATGGACCACTGTGGTACCCAAACACTCGCGCGGCCGAGTTGAAGCCGGACACCTTAGGTGACAATTCCCATAACGACCTCCCAGGCCACCCGGAAAGACGCTGATTGGTGGAGTTTGTATGAAGAGATGAGCGTGATCAGCACAATAATCCCAGTTCATCTGAGTAAACCACTTGAAGTTTCTTATTTGAGTTTAGCTGTCTGGGTGAGGGGGGTGTCCGAGTCGCTTGGGAGGCTGTTACAAAGTGTCCGGCTTCAACTCGGCCGCGCGAGTATACTGTCCTATCTTAAGACACTGTATACTATTTTTCGCACAAATCTCTGGCCAACACAGGCGGATACGTATTAACCTGATCCCATAAACAATTAGTCCTGTTGAATAATAAAATATTTCTTGATAATGAAATACATGTGATCCCTTGAAACATCAGCCTGCGGGTGACCCTGGCCGGGCGCGGCTTTGGTTTGGAAAGGCCGCTTTCTCACATTCCGACCCTGGACAAAGCTGGACGGACTGGCCGCTTGGGATCACTGCTAAGCCGTAAAGCTGTGCAGTACCGTTGAGCTACACTGTTACTATGGTGAACCACGAAAGTTGTGTTGAGCCACAAAGCCGCGTCGAGCCACAGAGCCGCATTGAGCCACAGAGCCGCATTGAGCCACAGAGCCGCATCGAGCCACAGAGCCACATCGAGCGACAGAGCCACATTGAGCTGCGTCGAGCCACAGAGCCACATCGAGCGACAGAGCCACATTGAGCTGCGTCGAGCCACAAAGCCGCATCGAGCCACAGAGCGCATTGAGCCACAGAGCCACATTGAGCTGCGTCGAGCCACAAAGCCGCATCGAGCCACAGAGCCACATTGAGCCGCGTCGAGCCACAGAGCCGCATTGAGCCACAGAGCCGCATCGAGCCGCATCGAGCCACAGAGCCACATTGAGCTGCGTCGAGCCACAAAGCCGCATCGAGCCACAGAGCCGCATTGAGCCACAGAGCCGCATCGAGCCACATTGAGCCGCGTCGAGCCACAGAGCCGCATCGAGCCGCATCGAGCCACAGAGCCACATTGAGCCGCGTCGAGCCACAAAACCGCGTCGAGCCACAAAAAACTGCGTTCAGTTGGCGGGCACTCTGGAGGAGTGCCACAACCTTGGCACGAGTGTCAGCATAGACAACACTATCTCTTTCGTCCTGAATACCTACTGTAAATCCAAAATTGCGTTTCCCCGATCAAGAATTTTCATCCCTCCTGTCATCAAGTATGCGAAAGCGCCGCCCGCGTCATGCATCCGAAGCCTCCCTACGTTCTCAAGGTCATGAGATTCAACCGGGCTCTGGTCCGTCCAAGAATAGTTCACACACTCGCAGCGTCTTCGGTGGGCGCGAGTGATATTTCATGAAGAAAAACTAGCTGAAACCGTCTGAGAAGCAGTCCACGGGACCTAGCAGGATCGCTCGGGCGCTTGACCCGTAGGCGGTAAATGAAGACTGTTCGTTGCGAACTTGCGATAGATCACGAGAAGCGCACTTACTTCGAGAACTAGCGGCAGGCAGGCAATTGTAGCCAGTTCATGTGGTACAAGCGTCAGGCACAAAATGCCGTACTAGTACGGCGCACGACTAAAGCTCCAGCAGCAGTGGTATACCCGAGAAACATGGCTCTGAGGGAATCCCTATTCCATCTCACCTCGATCAATTTTGAGCAAATACAATTGACCGATCGGGTCTTGGCCGTTCATGCAATTCATAATTCATCAATCTTAAAATAGCTCTCTCCAGTGTCCCGTGGAGCAATGGAAGGCCCGCATTTTTCTGACGAGCTCACGTGGCGTTCTGATACCTCTAATTTTGACCAAAATCGATATCAGCACCCCTATTCGATACCACTACCGTACTCGAGTACCGTGCGGTTCAGGCGCACCCGCTGCCCGTTATGAGAGACGCCGGGGGTTCCGGATTTTTCGTTCGTTATAGCGAGGTTTTGAAAGAAATCCTTATAACGAGGACCAACTGTATGGGGACGAGGGTGTAAATTCCCAGGGGGTTGGTTCGTTCGTGATAGAGAGGCTTCCCGTGTAAAGAGTTACTTTATAGCGGGGTGCGACCGGTATTTTTTTTTGCCTAACCCTTACAGACTACCGTACTCGTACCTTGCCGAGTTACGGTGGCGCCCTGACTGATGACAAAGCGAGATGAGGGAGACCCCTTGATATCCACTGTCAGATTATCGGCGGAAATCAACCGGCCAGGCCAGGATAGGATTAGCTTGATAAGTCAACAGAACTGCGAATACTGGTACAGTACTCGTACCCGAGCAGTCTATCGATACTGGTGCCAGCTAATGAGATCCAATACATTCCTGAGGTCTGATCTCGCGCTCAGCAGCCTTTTGTCTCTGAGCCGGGAGATTACTGGGTTACTTGTACTTCAAGCGATTCTACAGTACCGGTATGGTGCGGGTATGATAGATGAGCTCGGATCGCACCACATAGACTGCGCCGAGTCGCCAGTCGATGCATGCGAGGACCCCTCTTCTGCGCTGCGGGGAGCACACAAGGGTAGGTACGGTCCTTGTGGTCGGATAGGGGGTACCGTACCGTATGTCATACATTCCTTCCTTCGCGGGCCGGCCAGTCCAGCACTGGTGGACGGATGGTGATGGTCTAACTTTTATTCATTTTCCTCTACAGCAGTTGGGGTGGATGGGTGCTGACTTGTGTCGGCCGGTATCGGCGGGTGTACCGCAGCTGACAACAAGGTACCGTACGAGTGAGTGTGAGTACTGTACCGTACTCGTACAGCAGCCCGAATGGTCGGGTGCATGAATCTCTCCACCTTTTGCTATTGGGGAGAACCATCACCACAACTCATGCATACAAACAGCACAGCTTATCCTACTGTATTCTCAGGTTACAGGTATCATATAAACAAAATTTCATAACTGGCATTCTCATTCATTCATCCACCCACCCATCAAGGTTCGGGGCAAAGGAACACGTGTTTTGAACCGTTCATCACCTTGCCCTCCCAGGCTTATCGATATCGGATGCGAAATTGTGGACTACGCCGTTTTTATTTTATTTTTTAACCCTTCGGTTTTATAATGCTCGACTGCAGGGAAAAAGATGTTGTAAATTTATGAGCGAGTGAGGAGGGAGTGCCGGGTGTTGGCTTGTTATTGCAGATGGGGGTGGTGTTTTGATTGGTGGGACTCTGGCGAGGGAGGGGAGCTTTTGGCAGAGTTTTGGGCTCTTGGTGCTTCCTGTTGATGTGCGTTTATTGGACGGGCACGGTCTTGGTTGGACAAGCAGCGGTTGTTTTTTTTTTTTTTTTTTTTGTGGTAGGGAAGCGGCTTTACTCGTGGCATGTTGGAGCACTGGCACGGTATCATACCCGTGCATTTGGGGAAGAGAAGGAAAGGTCGGCCTTTCACAGTACAAGTACCGGTACAGTACTCGAGTACTCGTACTGTAAAAGTGAGGGAGTGGATGCTATGTACTAGTACTCGTACTCGAGTAACTTATTGATTTCTTTCCCTTTCACAGTGTGCCTATTGCGGTGATGTAATTTCCCATCAGAAGGTTCAATTAATGTTTGGTTCGTCAAGTTGGACAATGACCGCCCAGGAGCCCAGGAGTCCAGCCCAGGAGCCCACTCAATGCTACTCGTAGTACCGGTACAGTGCTAGCACTGTATCGGCAGGGAGGGGAGGGTTTGAATCTCGGCGGAAAGGGGTCTGGAAGCTTGAGTGTGGGGACTGAGACATTCGAGTGTAACCGAAGAAGGTTGAAAATTGTTTTTTGAAGCGTCAAAAGTGTGGGTGGAATTCTTTTCTGTTCCAAAGATTTGTGGGAATCCTTTACCTTATGCTGCTGGCTGCTGCTGGTGGGGGGGACTCACCTTCCAGCAGGAAAGAGGTGGGATAAAAAACTGCACAGGCCAGATTTGATCCAGTGCAGATTGCAGTCTGGAAATTGGAGATTGAAGCACTTTAGAAGCACCACCAAGACATAACACAAGTAGGAAGGACAACTTGGACAAGACCTTCTCCTTCTTTACCACGAGAGAGAGAGTGTGTGTGTGTGT